TTTCCCAAGGACATTGCCATGGGACAGCCCATGCTATTCTCGAATATTCGTGATAGAAAAAATTATTTGATGCATCTTTTCTGACCTTTTTCTTACCCATGCAATTTTCAATTTTCTTAAAACATCTTTATAATAAGCCCCCATGATCATTCTGTGTTCTTTGAGAAAATCTATCAAGATGGCCTCTTGTTGTTGTTGTTAGGTGTCTTACAGTCCCTTCTGACTGACTCATAGTGACCCTGTGTAGGGTTTCTGAGGAGTGACTGGTGAGTTTGAACTGCCAACCTTGTGGTTCAAACTGACCTTGAGGTCCCTAAAAATTCGTCATTATAAACTTGGGAGCTGACCTCTCTATCTTAATTGACCTGGACCAGCAGTTGTTGATTGGGCCTGGTTTTGAAGACCCCCTAGTGAGACTCAGCCCAGTGTGTTACTGCGAGAGCTTGTCTGCAGACATCCACTGGTCGTAGAGCCAGGCTTAAACACGTTCTGTTTGGATTAAGCTTGACAGGTATGGACTTGAACCCTAGTGGCAATCGTTGTAAATTTACCCTCATATATCTTGTTGCCCTTTTCTTTTTAATCTCACGTGTGTTCACTGACTATACCTGCTGATGTACATTAGTAGAGGGAGCAGTTGTACGCACGTTACTTACATACAGTGCTCGTGTGGCGCTCTGGGATAAAGCACTGGACTACAAGGTCAGTTCGAACCACAAGATAGGAAGTTCAGACCCACCAGCCGCTCCTTGGAAGCCCTATACAGGGTCGCTATGAGTCGGAACTGCATCGATGGAACTTAACATGCAGTTCAGTTGTATATAATGTATTTATGCCTGTCTCCCCAAAATGAATGGTGTAAACTGACCTTAGAACGTAGACCCAGCTGTCACCTGGGTGCCCTGTGTCCTAACATTTGGCACTGTGTGGGCAGGGAAAGGGTTCTTAATAAATGCTGAACCAAATTCCAAAATGTGTCTTTAGAATAAAAAAAACCCTTACCTTGGAATACTGTCTTAGCATTTTCAGCTTCCTTGGACAGGCAAGGCAACTATTACTGTCTTAGCAGTGGAAAGCCGGTGAGATTTTGAAGGTACTTTTCTTTCCTGTCCAATACAAGTCTTCATTATTGGTTGAGTTTCCCTCGTTTCCATTAGAGTAGAAAGTGGCCACCTCTGTGTATGGCTTCTCTGCAGTGATTTTGTCTCTCTCAGTTGGAAGCGTCCTTTTCTGGGGTGTCATCCACTGGGCTGGTGGCTCCTCCCCAGGCTTTGGGGCAGACTTCTCAGCAGCCTAAGCCAGCCCTGGGGTTGTGCTGTGCTGTCTGGCTCTGGAACATGCTATTCAATACCAGCAACTATCTTGTGTTTCAGCCTAAGAATGGGGATGGGATGGCTGATGGCACCCAGGCATCGTATTTGTCACCTCATTTCAAGTCGTAACCTTTTTGATCTTCATTCCTTATATTGTTGATTTTGCTCCTATTAGGACCCATAGAGTCGGTTCCGATTCAGAGCGACTCTGTATATGGGTTCCAAGGCGTGGCTGATCGCTTTCAGGCCATTGTTTAGCCTACAGTGCCACACCAGGCTCATCCCTGATATCCCTGTGAAATTGTTGTATTTTCTTCTTTTTGAGTCTGAGGAGAAAGGGGAAAAAAATTGTCACTGTTGGAGGTCATGGTCCTTTTCTACTCAGGAAGGGCTGCCCTATCTCTTTTAGAATATCTACATACAGAACTGGTCTCGAAAGATTTTGTACCTGTGTTGTGCTCTAGGATCAGCAGATTGTGACCCACAAGGTTAGCAGTTCAAACCCACCCAACCACTTCTCAAAGACCCTATACACTCTTGCTGTGAGTCAGAACCGACTCGACAGCACTTCACAACAACAGCACAGGGGGATCAGTTTTAAAGGGCCCTGTAGAACCTACCAGGAAACAGAACCACTGATGTAATGTACAGTCTTTAGCCCTGTGGCTTCGGGGAGAGGACCCAGGCTAGGGCACTCTCTGTGAGTCGCCCTGTGCATTCTTTCACGTCACGAACGGGAGCTGTCAGGCAGCATGCTCAGGGCACTGTGGGAGAAGTCCCATCATTTCAACTCCGTTTTTCCATGAACTGTCTGAAGTCCCCTTGTACACGAGGCATGCAACTGCAAGTGAGATGAGCAAGAACTGAACATTCAGAAAGCCTCTGAAAAGGTGGTGGTGTTGAGTGCCATCGAGTCAGCTCCGACTCATAGTGACCCTGTTTAGAGTGTCTAAGGAGCAGTTGGTGGATTTGAACTACCAACTTTGTAGTTCAAACCAACCTTTGGTCCAGAGAAGTTGAAGGCTTGAGAATTCTGCCTTTCCTTTGTCTGGCCAACTTTACCATTGTTTGCTATTTACAGGAAATTAAAAACAATAGGAAATGACAAATCACATTGTTATGAGCATTTTTCCTTTGCCATACTTCATCGTCTTCTTTTTCCCCACTATGCTTCATTTAGGACTCCTGATGTGGCGCTGTAGGATAAGCACTGGACTGCTAATCGCATGGTTGGCAGTTCAAACTCACCAGCTGCTCCTTGGGAACCCTTTACAGGGTCGCTTGAGTTGGAACTGACTTGATGGCTCTTAGAAACAACAGTATACTTCATTTTGAAATAGGAACCCAGGCTCAGACATTAGTTTATATACCTTTGGATTTTTAAGGTGCTAGTGATACTAAAGAATAAAATTTGTACAATCGCCAATGTAAGTATAACAAGGATGTATGTTGAAAAGATATGACAACAATGAATACATGGATTTCCTGATTCGTTGTTCCTTCTGCAAATACAGATCCTGGTTTTGTCTTGAATCCATAGTAACTAAAACTGGAGAAACAGGCAAGCGTGTACGCGCCCGGCACTCTGAGAGACAAGGCCAAATGGGCGCCTTGTCTTTTTCTTTGGGGCAGACCCTTTGACTGTATGTTGCTCTCATGATTTAAGTTCTTTTCCAAATGAAGTTTAAACTTCTTCTTTCAGATCTTGACAGAGCAAGTGTGCACCCAAGTGGTTCACAAACCACACCCGGAGCCAGACTCCACGGTGAAAATTCAGAATCCAAGTGAGCACTTCTCCATTGCCCTGCTTTTGTGACAAGGGAACACGTGAGCCGACATCAGAACTCGTCCTGAGCCCCCATCTGTGGGGAGTCACCTCACGTCACGTTGGGCCTTTACTTGTGGGTTGTAGACATGGTACCTGGAACAGCTGCTCCTGACACGTGTCTTTGTCCCTCGCAGTGATTCTGAAGGTGGTGGCAACACTGCTGAAGAATTCCACGCCCAGTGCAGAGCTGATGGAGGTGCGCCGGCTCTTTTTATCCGACATGATAAAGCTTTTCAGCAACAGCCGGGAAAACCGAAGGTAGGCCCACAGGCCATCACAGAACTCCATGCTGAAGCTTGTCGTTTCAGGCCTTCTGTAAAGACAGACTCTTCACATCTCTTCCACACTCTAAGTGCAAGGGACCTCCTAAATTCTCTTTGTGGAAGAATGGAATGAACAGATTTTGGAATTCTTACGTGGCCCTTTGGAAGCCCTGTGGTATGGTGCTTTGGGTGAAAGCACTGGACTGCAAGATTGCTATGAACCACAGGATTGGCGGTTCAAACCCACCAGTCACTCCTTGGAAATCCTAAACAGCGTTGCTATGAGCCGAGTGCTAGTGGCACTGTAGGATAAACACTAGGCTATTAACCACCAGGTTGGCAGTTGAAACCCACCAGCCACTCCTAGGAAACCCTATACAGGATTGTACCCTATACAGGGTTGCTGTGAATCAGAGCTGACTCAATGGCACTTAACAACATCAACAACAGTAGTAGTACTCATGGAGTCCTGGTGGAAGTGTAGGGTAAACAATAGAGTGATGTGTGTCTGGCAGTTCAAACCCACCAGTCAACTCCTCAGAGTCACTCTACAGGGTTGCTGTGAGTCAGAACAGACTCGCTGGCATTAAACAACAACAACAACCATCTTAACTCACGGAGTCCTGGTGTCACTGTAGGGTAAACACAGGATTACTAACTGCAAAGTTAGCGGTTCAAACCCTGCAAGTTCCCACTGGGAGAAAGCTGAGGCCCCACTAAGATCTGCAGTCTCCGAAACCCCACACAGGGCTGCTAGGAGTTGGCATCCACTGTGTGACAGTGGTTTGGGGTTTAGTCCTGCTGACTATCCTAGAGAGGCATTGTGTGCTTCTTAATATCATCTGTGATCTAAATAGTTCAACTTAGTTTTATAGGCTCTTGTTTACTAGGGGTTATTAACCTGGCAGTTCAGTAGTTAAGCACGCAACTACTAGACAAAAGGTCAGCAGTTCAAACCCACCGACAGCACTGAGAGAGCAATGGCCTGCAATCTGCTTCTGTAACAATGCCAGCCGTTAACACTGGGACTGTTCTGGTCTGTCCTGGCCGATTGCTAGGGGTCAGCACTGACTCAGAGGCTCCCGCCAACAGCAAGCTGTCGTCGTGATGTGCTGTCAGGTCAGTGACTCGGGATAGCGTTTCTGTGGAGCAGTTGGAGGGCTTGAATCACCAACCTGTGGTTAGAAGTCTGGTGCTTATCCTATAGCACCGTACCAGGGCTCCAGCAACATGTATCATGTTCCAGTTGTAGACATGACTGTACAGGTCCACAGGCTCTGAGCTGACTGCAGCTCTGAATGCTTAAAGCACTGTGCTGGGCCAGTGGGTGAAGCATTAGGCTGCTGACCCCGAGATCTATGGTTCACATCCACCAACCAGGTGCCTCCCAGACACCAGGCCATGAGTCTGTGTTTTCTCCTCTGTTCTGTGAGGCCGCAGTGAGTCAAAATCGGTTTTCTTTTTTAAATGAACACGTACACGGACTGTTATTTCATTGTATCTATGAATGTACATATGGAGCACACTGGCATGTGGGATACGCACTAGACTGTGAAGCACGAGCTGCTTTGCAGGAGGAAAAGGAGGCTTTCTGCTGCCTCAAAGAGTTACAGCCTCGGAAGCCTTTAACAGGGTCGCTTGAGTGGGAACCCACTTGACGGTACCTCACAACAACAACAAAAACAGGAACGTACACCTAAAAACAACTTGAATATACAAATACACAGGTTCTTATCTAACTGTATATTCCAATGTACTTATACAATTTTATTCTTACGGCGATTCCGTTTTCTCATCACCAACAACTCCTTAGACTTACATTTTACTGCCTGCCTTCCTCCCCCACTTGGTCATGGAAGGGAGGGTATTCATGTCTAAGCTGGCTGGCTAGCACATGGCAACAGGTCCCTTTGAGTGATGAGTAAAGCCCTTGCCGGGCTCGGGGCCAGTGTAGGTCTGGTACCCGGTCCTGGTAGAAAAAGTCAGCAGAGAGCAGCCATCGTTTGGAGACTGACTGTTCAGTGGGTGACTGTTCAGGGTGATGATAAACCCGGGCAACAGGAGCGACATGTGCCCAGGAGATTAGGAGAGGGACTTTGACGCTTCCCCTGGCAGCCATTCTGGGGGCCAGCAGTAACACGTGTGCGGGAGGGAGCTGCCACTTGCTTTGAAGAGGCTGGTGATGGTGTCAAACATGTGCCCTGTGGTGCTCTGCGGCCCCCATGACGGCCCCTTGTCCCCATAGGTGCTTACTGCAGTGCTCAGTGTGGCAAGACTGGATGTTTTCTCTGGGCTACATCAACCCTAAAAACGCCGAGGAACAGAAGATTACCGAGATGGTGTACAACATCTTCCGGATCCTGTTGTACCACGCAATCAAGTACGAATGGGGAGGCTGGAGAGTCTGGGTGGACACGCTGTCCATCGCCCACTCTAAGGTAACGCGCTCTGGCTGCTGGGCTGCGGCAGTGGACTTGGGGACTGAGCATCACCATCTGCTGCCCTCTCGTGGGCGAGGTGGATTCCTGTTTCTCTCCGCTCTGCCTGCGCCCTGTTAGAGTGTTAGAGCCGTCACTTGGTCACTCTGTTTCAACCCCAGGTTACAAATGAGGAATTTGAGACTCCAGGTGTGCTCGGACACACCTGCTGTGCAGCAGACCCCAGAACACGAGGCTGAGCCCGTGATTCTCCACAGAAGCATTGCTTGTTTGTACACTAACGCCTCATAAAATAGTCCCTAAAATATATTTTTTTGCACTTTTTAGAAAACAGAAATTGTTTTTATTTCCAAAAGAATCTTAAATATGTTTAAAGTCTTTGATTTTATTGCTGTTTTGAAATGCTTTGTCTTTATTTTGAATTTAAGGCTTTCTATTATATGTCTATATTTGGAGCTCTGGTAGCATAGTGTATCCATTGGGCTGCTAACCACAGTGTTAATAGTTCGAGCCCGCCAGGTACTCTGAGGGAGAAAGATGAGGCTTCCTGCTCCTGTGAAGATGTACAGCCCCAGAAACCCTATACAGAGTTGCTGAGTCAGAATCGACTCCGCAGCACACCACCAGCACCACCCACCATGTGTCTTCCTGGATTGAGGAGTCTTGATGTGATGCTGTAAGATAAAAACTGGACTGGTAACCCAAGGTCACCGGTTCAAACCCACCAGCCACTCCTCAAAATCCTGTACAGAGTCACTATGGCTCATCAACACTTCCCAATATCATGTCTATATTTAAAATGTAGGACCCTTGGTGGTACCATGGTTAAAGCAGTGGCTAACTCAATGGTCAGCAGTTCAATTCCAGTGAGTTGGGGAGCAAGATGAGGCAGCGTGTCCCTGTAGAGATAACAGCTGTGGTTCAGGTCTCCGCGCCGTCGGGTGCGTGTGAGCTGGAGCGGGTTGGACCGTGATGGGTGGCATTGGCCCTTTAAGCATTTGGTGGTGTTAGGTGCCCTTGAGTCGGCATCAACTCATAGCGACCCTGTGCACAACAGAACGAAACACTGCCCGGGACGTTGCCAATCCCTGCTTTGGGATTTGATTTTCTCTTTGTCAAATGAAAAGGTTGTAGTATTAACATAATTTCAATAAGAAAGTTCTTCTGAATCTAAAATTTTGTTAATCTATCATTTAAATGTAGATTAATAAGACAGGTCCATCATGAAGAGTTTTAAATATATGTGTATTTTATTTAGAGGAGCCTTTATTTCTCATACAAATTTGCATTTTGCAGTCTGCTGGCACCTCACTTTTATCACTGAACTCACAAGTTTGGAGAGACTGTTTTCATGGAAAAGATACAGTAATGATGCCAGCAGTGTCTCTCTTGAGGACTTTGAATGAAGCCACAGTTAGGAGCAATCCCAAGTAGACTAGACCAGGAAGGAGCGCGTCTGTCTGTTGGAAGTCTCTACATGTACGTTTCTATCGATCCATGTGGAGTTTTTGAGCACCACTTGTTATGATTGGTGTAGCTGACGGTTGCTTAGTGCCATTGAGTTGGTTCTGACTCATAGCAACCCTGTGTAGGGTTCCCAAGGAGCAGATGGTGGATTTGAACCACTGACCTTGCAGTTCAAATCAATATGTGTAATATGTGTTCCGATAGGTACACATATTACACATAGGCAATAGATTATGAAAACTGCCCGTAAAGGACTTCAGCTATTGTTAGCTGTCAGTCTCGGTTGATACTGAAATGACGCCAATAGTTCTCTTGGTTAGCCTAGGGCAATGTTGAAATGCCTAATTTCAAACGATTATTTTATTTGAACTTAATATTGTTCATGTGATGCTACAGGATAAGATCGGCAATTCATTCCCACTAGCTGCTCCTTGGAAACCCCACAGAGGGTGCCTATGAGTTGGAACCAAGTCAATGTCACCTAACAACAACAGCAATTGTTCATTTAAGTGGAAAGCCATGGATGAGGCATATCTAACTATTTTGGATGATGACTCCCAAGTACTTGGTGAAGCCAAGCATTTGCCTTAGGGTTATTAGGTGCGAAGTTTGACCTTGTAAAGTGCCTGCCCCATTTAGTGATGACTTATCTTGTTTTCTCCTTTCCTTGTCCCTCAGGTCACCTATGAGGCACACAAGGAATACCTCGCCAAGATGTACGAGGAGTATCAAAGACAGGAGGAGGAAAACATTAAAAAGGGCAAGAAGGGGAGTGTGAGCACCATCTCTGGGCTTTCTTCACAGACAACGGGTGCAAAGGGGGGGATGGAGATTCGAGAGATCGAAGACCTCTCCCAAAGCCAGAGCCCCGAGAGTGAGGCAGACTATCCCGTCAGCACAGACACCAGAGACTTACTCATGGCCACCAAAGTGCCGGACGATATGCTCGGGCATCCGGAGAGACCGAGCGGTGGCGTCCACGTGGAAGTGCATGACCTCCTGGTGGACATCAAGGCGGAGAAAGTGGAGGCCACAGAGGTGAAGCTGGACGACCTGGACCTGTCCCCGGAGACGCTGGCGGGTGGCCAGAACGGAGCCCTTGTGGAGGTGGAGTCCCTGCTGGACAATGTGTACAGCGCCGCGGTGGAGAAACTCCACAGCAATGTACAGAGCATCATCAAGAAGAACGAGGACAAAGACAACGGCCCGCTGATAACCTTAGCGGACGAGAAGGACGACCTCACCAGCAGCAGTGCCGCCTTTCTCTTTGAGAAAATTCCCAAGCAGGAGGAGAAGCTCCTTCCAGAACTGTCGAGCAGTCACATGATCCCGAATATCCAGGACACGCAAGTGCACCTTAGCGTTGGTGATGACCTCGGGCTGCTTGCCCACATGACTGCTAGCGTGGACTTAGCTTGCACGTCCAGTATCATCGAGGAGAAGGAGTTCAAAATCCACACGACCTCCGACGGGATGAGCAGCATTTCTGAACGAGACCTGGCGCCGCCCTCCAAAGGGCTGGACTATGCTGAGATGACAGCGACAGCCCTGGAGACGGAGCCTTCGGGCAGCAAAACTGGACCAAATATGGATGCAGGAAGTATCGTTTCAGACACGGAGAGATCCGACGATGGCAAGGATCCTGGAAAGGAAATTCGGAAGATCCAGACGACAACTACAACCCAAGTGAGTCCTAGAGACAAGCTGTCACACACAGTGCACAGGATAGAGTCTGGGTTGTTACTCCGACGCCCAGGCCGACAGCAGGTGTGAGGTGCATAGTGACAGCTGGGAGAGTCGGAACCTTACCCGGGTCTCTGCCTCTACAGGGTTCACAGCATATGGGATCGAGTACTAAGGTGCTGTGTGTCAGGGTCCTTCTGAAAGTTCTGGAAAAATCACCCTAAGAGAAACTAGGAATTTCTGAGTTGTCCTTGGAGTTCTGACTGAGTCACAGTGCTCAGCCTCTGTGTGCCGGGCTTCTTTCGGAGGGACAAGAGGTTGCGTGAGTCTAAAACCGACCCATCTCTGCCGCTTGTCACGTTTCAGGAGGCCGTGGGTGTCGGCATGTTTGTCCTGGACTCTTCTTTCTCAATACTTGACTGACTTTAGCCTTTGACACCTAGTTCTCTCTCCCCGTCGCTCAGGATGATAGAGCTGAGCACTGGGCCAGATGGCAGTGGTTGATGACATGAAGGAGGACAGGGGCGGCTGTTATCTATCCAGTGCCCACTAAGGTCCAAGGAGTCTTGGTGTGGCGCTGTAGGTCAGTGGTTCAAATCTACCAGCCGCTCCTCAAAACCCTGTATGGGATGGCTGTGAGTCAGAATCTCCTCGGCTGCACCTACCAATAACTGAAGAAGCCCTAGTGGTCCAGTGATTGAGTGTTCAGCTGCCAACCAGCCCGCGGCCTCTCTGTAGGACATGACATGTCAGCTGTGGACACCCTCTGTCCATATGGGCTCTGGTGCAGTCCCCCTCTGTCCATATGGGCTCTGGTGCAGTCCCCCTCTGTCCATAGGAGCTCTAGGACAGCCCCCTCTGTCCATAGGGGCTCTGGGACAGTCCCCCTCTGTCCTATAGGAGCTCTGGGACAGTCCCCCTCTGTCCTATAGGAGCTCTGGGAGTTGGAATCGACTTGATGTCAGTGGCTTGGGTTCTCTGGGTGCTGGCTCCAGGCCCTGGGCTCCGTGCGCTCAGATGGCCACACTGTGGGCAGGGATGGGGCTGAGAGGCCCTGGACTGTTACCAACAGCATGCTGGGTAGGCAGTGGCTGGCAGAAGTCAGGACTTTGAGCTCTTGCTGAGGAACGGTGGCTCTGCAGGCTCAGCAGACTCAAGACAAAGGTGAGGACACGTTCTGGTTTGGTCTGGGATTGCTGGCCGGTGTGTGGTCGGTGTTGTAGGCCAGACAGCAGCTGTGGTTCAGAGTGTGTGGTATTTCAGTACTAGCTTTACCCCGACCTGGAGGCACTGATGAGGAATGTCACGTGTTGTTTCCATGAGAGTTGTGTCTTGTAGAGGAAACTGCGCTGGAGTGGTGTCTGTACTTTAATAAGATCCGTTACAAACGCGTGCTGTCTACAGAAAAGGCGGAGCTGGGAACGGGCCACGTTCCCTTTTTGTGGCCGTTGGACAGCAGGGATAACAGGCACAGGAGGGACAATTTGCATTTGGCAAAGATTTAAATGTTATGTCACTGAACCTAAGCGTCTCTCTCTCTGTCTTTTTTACCATAGTGCTTACAGTGAAGAGCCCACCCTTTGCACCCCTAGGGCGTTTGTAGGTGTTTCGTCTTTGCTTGTTTCCTGGTATGCATATTTGTGTTTAATACATGTTTAACAGGACAGACACAATGCATTGTATACCTACTGTTTCTGGACGAGTCTGTCTTTTAGAGGCTTTTTCAGGTCTTTCATTTTTCTTTAAATTAGAAAGAAAACTCTCTCTTCACATCTGCTGGCGTTCAATCAGAGGGGATAGTTTGGGTTTGTTTTCTAACCTACACAGTGCAGTCGTCCTCTGCATTCGAAGTGCTGTAAACGAAGCAGCCTTCCACGGTCCCTGGTCTCTCTTCTGATACTGTTTCCTCTGCTGCTTATGCGCTTGTGTTAGATGACACACATTCAGGACTTTTCCCACGACGTGGTGTGGCCTCATGTACCTACAGACGCAAGGGTCAGCATCCAGAATCTGATGCTCCCTTAGTGTCTGCAGCGGCAGGAGGCACTTTTCCAACTCAGAGGGGCTAGCGGAGCGGCTTCAGTAAAGGCTGGAGTCTGGCCTCGGGTCCCCATTTATACTTGATGAAAGTCTGCCTTGTCATTCTCTAGGCTGTTCAGGGCCGCTCTGTCCCTCACCCGGACCGAGACCTCCGAGTGGACCTGGGATTCCGAGGGATGCCCATGACGGAGGAGCAGCGGCGCCAGTTCAGCCCTGGCCCCCGCACGACCATGTTCCGCATCCCAGAGTTCAAGTGGTCGCCCATGCATCAGCGGCTTCTCACTGACCTGCTCTTCGCCTTAGAGACAGACGTGCACGTCTGGAGGAGGTAGCAAGAGCTCTTCCCTGTCACACGGACATGCATGTGTGTGAAGTCGGTCCCTGAAGAATGGACGCAAATCAAGCTGGTTACAGATAATTGAATGTCTCCTTTCCGAGCCTAAGAGACCCCTGTCTTTCTAGACTTCAGCACAAACTGAGGGCACTGGGATTCGGGATTGTTTATCGGTTTGTGATGAAGTTTGGAAAGCCAAGGGTCTGCTCGGGTCACACAAGACTGGAGTCATGTCTTGGCAGACACTTGCACAGACACACACACACACACACACACACACACACACACAGTTACTGCCTCTCGCACACACGCCCCATTACACTGACACATAAACCCCGTTGTACCCAGTCTTCTGCACACAGATCCTCAGACGTATCCTCCCAGAAACTATTTATCCTCCTACACCCCACACCTTCACACAACCCTCATACACACTCCTCCACCTCACACCTTCACACATACCCTCATACACACTCCTCACACATACACTCCTCCACCTCACACCTTCACATACACCCTCATACACAGTCCTCACACACACACTCCTACACTTCACACCTTCACTCACACCCTTGAGCACACACACTCCTCCACCTCACACCTTCACACACACCCTCATACACACTCCTCACACACACACTCCTACACCTCACACCTTCACACACACCCTCATACACACTCCTCACACACACACTCCTACACCTCACACCTTCACACACACCTTCACTCACACCCTTGAGCACACACACTTGTGCACTCTCCCTGGCACCCTACCCCCACCTCCCATGTTTAGCTCCATGCATGGTTATTTCTGGAGTTCCGTATTTGTGAAAAAGAAGTAAGAGAGCTCATTTAGAACATTTGTATTTTATGATAGAAGCCTGAACTGCTTGAAAACACACGTTTCGATTTTTGATGGAAGCATATCTTCATAAGCGTTATAATGTCTGAGGCTCACACCAGTAGGGATCTAAGAGATCTAAGATCTTAGGCTTAAGATCATTGAAAAGTAAAATTTTGAAGTTCGCCAGTGACTCTCTAAGAGAGGCTTCTCAAAAAACGAAACAAGTGCAGCTGTCCCCATTGTGGTCTCTTCGTGGGACAATGAGGGGGTGTCATTGCCTCGAAGGTGCTCAGCTGCCTGCTGTGAATCGGCCTGACCGGCTTCATGTCTGGGTGTACCGTGCGCTAGCTTCTGAGTGTGTGTGCAAAGGAGTGTGCATGAGTGTGGGTGTGAGTGTGGGATTGTGTGTGGGTTCGAGGGCTGTGAGCGAGGGGGTGCGAGAGTGAGCACGTGTGTATGAAGGGGGGAAATGAGTATGCGAGGGGGTGTCTGTGAGGGTGTGCGAAGGTGTGTGCTAGTGCTGTGAGGGTATATGAGGGTGCGGGTGTGTGTGCAAGGGTGTGGGTGTGTGTGGGGTTGTGTGGGTGTGAGGGTGTGTGTGTGAGGGTGTGTGGGGTGTGTGTGTGTGAGGGTGTGGGTGGGGAGTGTGTGTGTGGGTGTGAGGGGTGGGGGGTGTGTTTGAGGGTGTGTGTGTGTAAAGGTGTGTGTGTGTGAGGGGTGTGCGGGTATGTGAGGGCATGTGTGAAGGTGTGTGTGTATGCAGGGTGTACGGATGTGTGAGGGTGTGTGTGTGTGTGTGTGTGTGAAAGGTGTGTGTGTGAGGCTGTGTGTGAGAGGGTGTGTGTGTGTGTGTGACGGTGTGTGTGTGTGTGGGGTGTGTGTGTGAGACGGTGTGTGTGTGGGGGGGGTGAGTGCCTGAGGGTGTGTGTGAGGGTGGGTGTGCGGCTGTGTGAGGGTGTGTGTGAAGATGTGTGTGTGTGAGGGGTGTGCGGGTGTGTGAGGACATGTGTGAGGGTGTGTGTGTATGTGTGTGAAGGTGTGTGTGAGGGTGTGTGTGAGGGTGTGTGTGACAGTGTGTGTGGGTGTGTGAAGGTGTGTGTGAGGGTGTGTGTGACAGGGTGTGAGGGTGTTTGTGACTGTGGGTATGTGAAGGTGTGTGTGAGGGTGTGTGGATGTGACGGTGTGTGTGTGGGTGTGTGTGAGGTTGTGAGGCAGCACTAAATTGAGTCTCGTTTGTAAGCATCTTAGGAACCCTACTGTGGCGCCACAGGATAAGGACTTGACCTCAGGGGTTGGTTTGAACCCCAGGATGGGTGGTTCAGACTGACCAGCTGCTCCTCGGAACCCCCAGACAGGGTGGTTGTGAGTCAGAATTGACTGGATGGCACTGCACCCCAACACCACCAATAAGCGGCTTATACTCCGCCATCACAGTAACTGGATGGATGGAGGCGAGGCTGGAACTAGCCGAGTTCGGCAAAGCCCCACGGGAGTCATAGTCAGCCTGCCTTCCCCGCAGCACGCTGTGTGGTCTCTTCCATGGCCCCTGGAAGTCCCTGAGACACTCAGCCCTTAGTTTTAGGAGAGAGAAAACCCTCCTGACATCCGGCCTGGGCTAGATCGCATCCCCTGCTCTGGAAAGGTGAGGTTCACTGTCGGAACTGTTGCCTGACACTAAAGTCACACATGTTGCCTCTTTGTGTGGAAAAGTGTCACTGATGACATACTGTGAGGATTGTTTGCCCTTTTGAGTCAATAAGTCCTTGACTTTGGACTGATCCTTACACCCTCCTCTCGCTGGCCTCACTTCTGTGACGAGCAGTGTGTATTTTCATCATGGCTGCCCAGAGGTGTGTGCTATCATCCTTGGTAATGCAGTTCAGCGACACTGCCTGGAAGTGTAATAACTTTAACTTGGACCAACTTTGTAAATAAAAAAAAAAGAAAGACAAATGACCTAGTCATATGTCTTAGAGTCTTCTTAGCACACTGTACTGTACAAATAGACGAAACAATGACTTACGTTAGCACATTTGGACATCTATCTACCCGACACAGACTAACCAACCAGACACACACACACAAACCCTGCTGAGAGGAATGCTCACTCTTCGGAAAGAGTTCTCAATTGCAAATTGTTTTCTTTTTCTAGTCATCTCGATGTTAAATTTGTCAAAGTCTTCTCAATATTCTAACGACTATGGTTATAAATACACTGTTACTTACTGATCTCAGCTACTTATTCTTAAGCTAAGGAAATGTTCATTGTGTTTTATTTTCCTGTTTTTTTTTTTTTAGCCATTCCACAAAGTCGGTAATGGATTTTGTCAATAGCAATGAGAACATTATTTTTGTACATAACACAATTCACCTCATTTCGCAAATGGTAGACAACATCATCATTGCTTGTGGAGGAATTCTACCTTTGCTCTCTGCTGCTACATCTCCAACTGTAAGTACTGATGCTCCACCTGGTGGCAGCATCGTGTAATTACATGACCGGGTATTCTACTGCGTGAACAGCGATGTTTTAATAAGACATGTCACACCTAAGGGAACTCTAAACCCTGCACATTTGTATGTCCACCCCTTGCTTCTCAGTGTTATGTTCCAGATGCATGGGTATGGAAAATGTATGTGGTCATTCAGACTAATACTTCTTAGTAAGAGCTGTGACTATAAATAACTTTCCTCCCTATTTATTGTGCATCTCTTATTTATGTTGTGGTTGTGGTTGTTAAGTGCCGTCGAGTCGGTTCCGACCCATAGCGGCCCTGAATAGGGTTTCTGAGGCTGTAAATCTTTACGGGAGCAGATCGCCTCATCTTTCTCCCGCGGAGCAGCTGGTAGTTTCGAACTGCTGATCTTCCGGTTCGCAGCCCGATTCGTAACCACTATGCTACACTAAATCCTTGTTCTATAAATCTTGGAGATATTATTCAAATTTGCGGTTATTATGTAAAAATCAGGTCATGAATCCAAACTTTAGATACTCTCCTCTAAATTGCTTTTAATAGTATCTCTAGTCATTGTACCTGTTAGAACTGCACACAGGGCTTTACACACTTCATAGCAGAACTGAACATGGGTTTACACACTTCATATCAGAACTGGTTGGTTGATTGGTTATGTGCTGTGGAGTCGGTTCTGACTCATAACAACCCTGTACAGGGTTTCCGAGGCTATAAATCTTTATGGGAGCAGAAAGCCTCATCTTTTTCCCACGGAACAGCTGGTAGTTTTGAACTGCTGACCTTGCAGTTCGCAGCCCAATTCGTAACCACTACGCTACCAGAGCTTCTTTCATATCAGAACTGCACACGGGTTTACACACTTCATATGGGTTAGAACTGCAGGCAGGTGATTACATTCTTTTTCTCTGAAACTTAATCTTGAAGTCAGTGATTCATTTTAAACAGTATCAGAGTAACTTAATGATACAAAAGAGTTTGGCTGCATTTTATCTAGTGATCACACATGATACTTAATGATACTGTGTGATCAGCACTGAACTGTGAAACACCAGGTTGGCTTTGAAACTTCCCAGCTACTCCTTGGAAACCCTATGTAGAGTTACTACGAGTCTGAACTGGCCCAATGGCACTTAACAACAACCACAATATAAAATATCAGTACCTTCTGACAAGAAATGCATAAAATAACATTTCTTTCTATTGTCTGAAAAATTTCATAAACCAAATAAAATTTCCAGCAACTCTGTGTTGGCTCTATTGCCCCTTATAGCGTTTTCATTTTTCTGGCGTTCTGGTTAAGCATTTTTTTTTTATTTTTATGGTGCTTCTCTTTATTTCTTCTAATAAAAAGTATTGAAATGTATTAATAAGATAAACTTGAAAGGAATTTCATGTTATTTATGCATCATTTAAAATACAATACTAGTAGACACAAAAAATGGGTTAGTTATTACTTTATATATTAGTTATTTAAAAAATGTCTATGATTCATATCAAAACAAATGGACTCCATTGCTCGTTGCTCAGAAGGCAAAGGATTTGGTAATGTGCTTCCCACCTCATGTGCGCTGGCTACTGGTGCCCACAGCCCTGGGTGCTCTGGGAGGAGGCTTGTCTCCTGGTAGAACTGCCCCACAGGGTTTCCCAGGCTGTCATCTACTGTGTCACTATATATGTATATATACTCTTATAGATCATCCACTCACAGCGCCCCCTGGTGTAACAGAGAACTGTCCCACAGAGACATCTAGTCTGTCATCTGTTGTGTCACTATATACTTGTATATACTCTTATAGATCATCTACTCACAGCGCCCCCTGGTGTAACGGAGGAGAACTGCCCCATAGGGTTTCCTAGGCTGTCATCTATTGTGTCACTATATACTCATATATACTCTTATAGATCATCCACTCACAGCGCCCCCTGTATGAAACAGTAGAACTGCCCTGTTTCCTATGTTGTCACGTGTTGTGTCTCCTGCTGTCCATAGACACCATCCAACCATTACTGACTCATGAGCTGCCCTAATAGAATGGAGCACTGCCTGGTCCCGCACCAGCCTCTCCACCGTTGCTATGCTTGAGCCCATTGTTGCTCCTACTGTTCCAGTCTGTCTCGTTGCGGGTCTTCCTCATTTTCACTGACCCTCCATTTTATCAAGCATGATGTCATTCTGCAGGGATTTGTCCCTCCTGATAGTATGTCCAAAGTATGATGGATGAATTCTGCCCATCCTGGCTTCTAAGGAGCGTTCTGGCTGTACTTCTTCAAATACAGATGTGTTTGTTCTTCAGCAATCCATGGTACTTTTAATATTCTTCTCCAACGCCGTAACTCAAATGCATCAATTTTTCTATGGGCTTTCATATTTGTTGTCCAACTTTCACATGCACATGAGGCTGTTGAAAATACGACGGCAGGGGTCACTGCACTTTAGTCCTCAAACTGCCTTGTATGCTTTTGAACACTTTAACAAGTTCTTCTGTAGCAGATTTGCCTAACGCAATACTCCTTTGACTGTTCCTTCTATGAGTTTAATGGCTGACTCAAGCAAAATGATGTCTTTGGCATCTTCAGTCTTTTCTCCATTTATCATGATATTATTTATTGGTCCAGTTATGAGCGTTTTTGTTTCTTTTACATTGAACTGCAACCCATACCAAATCTGTGGTCTTTGATCTTCATGAGTAAGTATTTTAGGTCCTCTTCATTTTCAGCAAGCAAGGTTGTATCATCTGCATATCAGAGGTTGTCAATGAGTCTGCCTCCAATTGTTGCCATGTTCTTCTCCATATAATCTAGCTCCTCAGATTATTTGCTCAGCATGCAGATTGGATAAGTCTGACGAATGTGTAGAACCATGGCACATAACTTTCTTGATTTTAAACCTTTCAGTATCTCCTTGTTTGTTTCAACAACCACCTCTTGGTGGACTTACAAGTTCCTCCTGAGCACAGTTAAGTGTTCGGGGTACTCATTCTCCAAACTGCTGTCCATAGCTGGTCATAAGCCACACAATTGAAAGCTTTTGTGTTGTCAGTAAAGTACAGGTAAACATTTTTCTGTTATTTTCTGCTTTCAGCCAAGATCCATCTGACGTCAGCAATGATACCCATTCCACGTCCTCGACCGAATCGGGCTTGACTCTCTGGCAGTATCCTGTTCATGTATTCTCACAGCCATTTTGAATCTTCAGCAACATTTTACTTGCAAGGATATTAATGATATTGTCTAATGATTTCTTCATGCTTTTTGGGTCATATCTCTTTAGAATGGGCAGAAATATGCATCTCTTACAATCAGTTGGCCTGAGAGATGTCTTTGAAATTTTTTGGCTATATCAATTTATTGAAAGATTTCAGTTTGTATTCTGTGAACTCTTGGTGTCCTTGTTCTTAGCTAATGCCTTCAATGCTCTGTGGACTTCTTCCTCAGTCCCACGGGCTCTTGATCATAGGCTACCCCTTGAAATGTTTGAACAGCAACCATTTCTTTTGGTCCAGCGACTCTGTATTCCTTCCATCTCCTTCCATCTCCTTCCATCTCCTTTTCATCCTTTCTGCATCATTCAATATTTTACCATAGAAATCTTCAGTATTTCAAACCGAAGCTTGAATTTTTCTTGTTCTTTCAGCCTGAGAAATGCTGAAGTCTTCCTTTTTGGTTTTATAACTCCAGGTCTTTGCACATTTCCTTATAATATTTGACTTTGTCTTCTCGAGCTGACCTTTGGAATTTTCTGTTGGGTTCTTTACCTCCTCACATCTTCCAGTCATCAGCTTCTCTGTGCTCTCTCCTCTGACATCCATGTTGGTATTTCCTCCTTTCTTGTCCTCTGAATCACTTTCTCTTTCTTCCTGTCTGATGTTATTGGTGGCATCTTGCAGAGTTTCTGGTCTTCTTTCTAATGTATCAAACCTATTCTTGAGATGATCTCTATATTCAGGTGGTCATATTTGAGCATAAATGCTCAAGGTCATATTTGGGCTCTGCTGGACTTGTTTTTCCTTTAGCCTGAACTGGCCTTTGAGCAGTTAATGATCTGTTGCACAGTCTGCCCCTCGCCTTGCTTTGGATAATGATATGGAGCTTGTCCACCATGTCTTTCCATAGATGTAGTCAATTTGATTTCTGTGTATTCCATCTGGTGAGGTCCGTATGTTGTTTAAAACTGGGATTTGCAATGAAGATGTTGGTCTTGCAAAATTCTATCATGCGATCTCCAGCATCATTTCTATCACCAAGGCTGTATTTTTCAACTACTTTTCTCCTTGTTTCCAACTTTTGTATTCCAATCACCAGTAATTATCAACATATCTTGATTGCACGTTTGATCAATTTCAGACTGAACACGTTTGTAGAATTCTTCAATTTCATCATCACTGTCTCTAGTGATTGGTGAGTAAATGTGCATAATACTGGTATTAACTGGTCTTACTTGTATGTGTATGGATATTACCCTATCACAGACAGCACTGTACATCAGGATAAATCTTTAGATACTCTGTTTGATATTGAATGTGATGTCATGCTTCTTCAACTTGTCTTTCTTTGAATAGTAAACCTTATGATTGTCAGATTCAAAATGGCCAGCCCCAGTCCATGAATGCCTATATGGATGTTTTCAGCTGCCATTTCTTTTTGACAACTTCCAGATTTTCTGGATTTATACTTTGCACAGGCCATTATTAATGGATGTGTGTAGCTGTTTCTTCTCATTTTGTATTGTGCCCCATTATCATATGAAGGTCCTGAAAGCTTTACTCCGTTTGCATTATCACCGTCAACTCTCTTTTGAGGAGGCATCTCTTCTCCCGTAGTGTTTTGGCTGCGTTCCTACCTCAACGGCTCATCTTCCGTCACTGTCTGACAGTATTCTGGTGCTATTCATAATGTTTGATGAGTCAGTACTTTGGTGCATCTGACAGGGTCCCACTGCACTTTCTTAGGAGTTCTGTAGCTTTACATTCTAAAGTAGTCCGCCTCGCCTTCCCAGTCTGTCTTAGTCAGGAAGGTCAGCTGAAACTGTCTGCCTTGGCTGACTCTGCCGGTGTTTAAAACACCATTGGTATAGCGTCCAGCATCACAGCAACTCACAAGCCAACACGCAGACTGACAAATGAGTAATAGGTTGTGTGACTGCACATACACATATGTTGTTGTTGTTAAGTACAATCGATTCCAACTCAGCAACCGTGTATAGCTTTCCAAGGAGTGGCTGGTGGATTTGAACCACCAACCTTTTGGTTCACACTGACCTTGACGCCCAGTGTATTGTCATGAAGTGCCATGCAAAGATTCCGCAATCAAATATACTCGCATGTATTCTTGATTCACAGCACCCCTGTGTGACAGAGTAGAACTGCCCCATAGGGTTTCCCAGGCTGTCATCTCATGTCATTGTATACGCATACATATTAGCATATTTCAACCACTCAATCACCACCATGTGACAGGAGAACTGCCCTCTGGGGTTTCCTAGATTGTCATCTATTGTGTCACTGTATACTCCTATGTAATCTTATATATCATCTACTCACAGCGCCCCCTGGTATAACAGAGGAGAACTGCCCCATAGGGTTTCCCAGGCTGTCATCTATTGTGTCACTATATACTCGTATATACTCTTATAGATCATCCACTCACAGCGCCCCCTGGTGTAACAGAGGAGAACTGCCCCACAGGGTTTTCTAGGCTGTCGTCTATTGTGTCACTATATACTCATATATACTCTTATATTTCATCCACTCACAGCACCCCCTGGTGTAACAGAGTAGAACTGTCCCACAAGGTTTCCTAGGCTGCCATCTATTGTGTCACTATATACTCGTATATACTCTTATAGATCATCCACTCATAGCGCCCCCTGGTGTAACGGAGGAGAACTGCCCCACAGGGTTTCCTAGGCTGTCATCTATTGTGTCACTATATACTCCTATATACTCTTATAGATCATCCACTCACAGCGCCTCCTGGTGTAACAGAGGAGAACTGCCCCACAGGGTTTCCTAGGCTGTCATCTATTGTGTCACTATATACTCATATATACTCTTATAGATCATCCACTCACAG